AATTACTCACTATCCACACACACATTACATTCCCCTCTTTTATGTACCAGCCTACCCTATATCTAGTAAGAACTAGACCATTCGCCAAGATACGGGATAGTTCTAGAAACAAGAGAGCGTGAGAATTGTCACGTGATCTCGATGACGCAACAGTATCTTAAATTTATTAATAGAATTAAACAACAAAAACAAGTTTAGTTCTTATCAGCATTGATACCTTGGGAATTACATTAGGAAATGATTTTATAAGGGATAATTAAAATACTTACAGTTGTTCCAGTTTTTATTTTCTTTCCTTCATGTTTTAACACATTATTCTAAAGATCTCTAATAACATTTTGTTAATTTCTAAATCTTTAATCATGTACTTTTCTTATGTTTAGTTATTATGCAAGAAAAAAAAAATTCTAATCAAGACAAAGTAATAAGCAAGTCTGTAGTTTTTAATCCTAATTAAGATTTCATATGTATATATTTAAGAAATTTTGAACTTGCTTCATAAGTTAATTTTTATTACAACTTTGTGTTTGACCGTGCCCTAAGAAGGTTTACTGAGCTAATGAAATAACTAATTCAACAAGAATTCTTATATGCAGATTCACGATACAAAACACAACTTTAATATTACTTGTATTACAGTATAGTAAACATATTTCAAAGTCACACTCACAGTACAGAAGTGTGTGCTCTGGCTACATGACATTTACTGTAAGAATTCATCAAAGTAAATAGTCCCATAAAGAACGTGACTTCACAGAAACTAACAATGTTAGTTTCGATCACATACTGCTCATTATAACTATCTAAAGCAGGCCTCGATAAATATTTTCAAATGTAGGACTAGTTGGAATCAGCCCTAAAAACCGAAAACTATTTGTGCCTAATTTAACTTCATTACACTCTGTACCTGTAAATGGAGGCTACAATAGTGCCTTGATTATCTTCGTTTTTTTCTTTTCCCAAAATAATTGTGCCACTACAATCCTAGCCAATAATTTACACGTTTTGTAGAAATTGCTATTTAGAAATTAATTGTTGTTGCAAAAGTTCAAGTGTTGCATGATATCCGGGTTTTCATGTGTAGGATCTGCCATGCGTTCAAATCATATGTTAACCGGTTCAAGCCTACCTATTCCTCTTTTATTTTTAGCTGCTAAGACAGGAATACAAAATATTTATAGTTTCGTTAACTTTAATTGATTAGTATACAATCAGAGTATATAAAAACACACAAAATACATAATAAGATATTTTAAAGATTTCACTCAACTTCAGTTGTCATCCACTGTTTTATGCAGCATGTTGAGCGTCCTTTAACCACATCTGCATGTTTAGGTTGTCTTGGGGTATCACCCAGTTACACATTGTCCTCTTCTTTATAGATAATTGGTACCTTCAATCTGTTTTAACAAAGACTTTTTCGTAATAATTCCCAAGCACAGATTTGCGCTAATTTTTGACTTATTTCTCTCAAACGTTGATAGGGTGCGAATGCACTTGTGTGTTTATGGCAGAAAAAAGTGTCAAAAGTTGGAGCAACTTACACCTGTCAGAGATTAAATTCAACTAAAATGTTTACTGGCAATCAAAAGTGGAAGCATTATAGAAGAAAAAGTGTAATTAGACTGCCTAACTTACGAAATTCAGAGAAATCAAGCTTGATCGAATGACTGACAGACCAACACTTGGCTTTTATAATTTTTCACGTAACTGTGATTACATGACGGTAAAAATATCATACTTTAAAACAATAAACTTAAATATTGTTACGTCTCCGTTTGTTAATTAATTTTCCGTAACTTCGTTCCGACGAAACTTAAGCGACACAAGTCCTTTCTTAATAAAACTGGTTTATTCTTTCCGAATATAACTTTACCGATACACTCAACTTCCACAATCGCGCTAAAACAAACGCTATATCAACGAACGTCAATAATACTTCTAACTGCAGATCAATTACTCACTATCTACGCACACATTACA